TTTGTTAGTTTGTGACCGTGAAATAATTTGTGACATATGAAATTTGTGATTTGTGATCGATAAATAATATGTGACTTATTAATTTGATAATTTGTGAGTCCATGACCGTGAAATAAGTTGTGACCTATAAAATTCGTGATTTGTGATCGATAAATAATATGTGACCTATTCATTGATAATTTGTGATCAATAAATAAATCATTATGTAAAATTTGTGATTTGTGACTTGGACGTTGTGTGATTTTGGCTATTACGTAACCGTGATCACAAATTGTATAGGATCGTAACTTAATATACTTAGTTAATAAAATGTTTTTAATTACCTATTTAATTAATAAATTTAAATTATAACATGATTTTTGAAAGTCTGTAGGAACATTCTTAATTTTGAAATTGTATCTCTTAACTAACTTAAATATGTAATCTTCTCATTTATGTTTGGCCAATTAGTAGTTATCCTATGGTAGCATTTGTTAGGTTAATTGCTCTTTTGGTCCAAATGCTGAACCACGTAATCCATGTTATTTGGATCATTTAAACACGAGAAGAACACATAATTACAAATACCACAAAACACATTTTAAAAAATAAGTAACTTGTGAAAAAGTTTCCAAAATCACGTATGAGATCTCTTATCTGTTGTTCACGAATCCCTTTCAGGTTTTCAGGCATACCAGGTCTTTTATTTTTCAATTGCTGCTCTGGGGAAAGAAGTTTCATTGGGGAAGCTTTATCCGTTTGATTTAGTAATATGGAAATATTATTATTCGAAATTGAATGGATTCTAGTTCTTCCCTCTAAAAAAACAAAATGAAGAATTCTAAGATAAATATATTCTATATAATTCTATACTTTTTTTTTTAATTATATATACTTGAATCCAATTTTTTTTTTTTTACCTTATAACAGGTCAATGTCACGATAACAAGTAAAATGTTACAATAACACACAATTATAATCACAATCACAAATACGCAAATTAGTAGTCACAATTACAAATTTAGTTATAATCACACAATTTTTTATGTCATATATTATTTATTGATCACAAATTATCTATTTTATTGATCACAATTATCCAAATAATATATCACAAACGCTTTTCATCCCACTCCACATCACAAGTAGGGACATGCAATTCACAAATTGCACTGGAGGCCTTGATCCACAAATCCTTATCAAAACCATAATTCTCCACTTTTTATCTACTCGTCTAGCCACAGGCGGTACACCATCTCAGGCGCTACGTCGAGCACTAGTACAATAGTAGCGTTGCGACGCTGACAATGCCAGGGTGCTGCTTGCGTGTGAGAAATGGTGGTGGCGATGGTTGGTGTCGTGGCATTGGCCGGCGATATTGTACGTCAATTGTAGTGGTGTGGGTGTGATTGTGAATTGGGGAATGGGTAAAATAATGAATTAGGGTTTTGTGGTAGGTAGGTGGGTGGGGGATGTGATATACTTGATTTTTGAAAGAAAAAAAAATCTTATACTTAATTGTTGAAAGAGATAGTTGCAGCAGAAGCCCTAAACTTTTGAAACAAAAGCAGACTTTTCCCAAACATTTCAAAAGTTGCAATCGTCACCCCCAAGGCCCAAACATTTTCAACCTTTGCATCACATGCCCTTTTGGATGGTTTCAATCCATATTTCTGTTAGTTGTTAAAAAAGTGAGTTTGGTGATTTTTAAAATAAATTTATAAAGGGTAAAATAGTAACTTTCTATTTACTACATTAAATAATTTAAGTAAATAAAAAAAAGGCATAAAGAAAAATAAAAATCTTTATCTACTTCACCTAAAACCCTAAACCCTACCCCAAACCAAACTAAACGAAAACCAATATCACCTAGTCACGCCAATGTCGACGATACTGCAAACTGCCGTATGCATACTCCTTCCACTTCTCACTCACCTCGTAAAACACATTCTTATTCCTCTCCAACCACAACCCCAAAACCCAAATTAAAACTATGTTCTTTGCCTAGATAATTTGATTGGGGGCATTAATTGAAGATAAATCCATTATAGTATGATGCTGCGGAAGGTTTTTATGTGGCCAATTTTGTGAATTAACATCCCCAAACCCATAGGTTGAAGGATTTACCGTGGGCATTGTCGGATTTGTAGAAAAATGTGCGGTTCTTGATGCTTTGGAGGCTAATTTTGATCTATATATATTGTTATTTGGTGGCTAAGGCAAGGAATAATTTTATTGCTTGGGTTTGATTTTTGGTTGGGGGATGGGGGTGGAGTTTTTGGGGATGGCAATGATGTTGGTTTCGATGGTAGTAGTGATGGTGGTTTGCGGTGGTGGCGATGGATGGGTAGAGTAATGGTGTCGGAGCTCAGCGGTGACGTCGGCGGTTGCACATGAAGGGTAGGATGGATTTAGGTAGAAGAAGTTTTAGCTTTTCCATTTTCTTTTTTTCTGTTTTGTTTTGTTATTTAATTATTTTAATTCTTTAATTTGATAATATGAAAGTACCATTTTGCCCTCATTGACATGGATTAAAATATGGTTAAAATTAATTTTTTCGGTCAATTGATGATAGGCTGGATAGAAACCGTCCAAAAGGGCATGTGATGCAACGGTCAAAAAGGTTTGAGGTGATGGCTGTCACTTTTGAAATATTTGAAAAAAGTTTACTAGTGTTTCAAAGGTTTGGAGCTTTTTGCTGCTATTATCCCTTGTTGAAATGACAAGTTGAAAAGTAGGTGTGAATATGATTTTCACTTTAAACGTCATGATCCATTGTCACGATTACACATATAGGCCTTGTATGGGAGGGATTAAAATCGGATTAAAATTGAAAATATAACCGTTATTGTTGACTTTTATTAGACGAGTGGGACCCAATAACGGCCATATTTTTAATTTTAATCGGCTTTTAATCCCTCCCGAACGGGGCCTACATATAAAAATATTAGATATGCACTGCCATTCTAAATAACACTCTCCTACGGAAGTTTCCACTGTACATTATCATTAACCGTTTTTGTTGACTTTTATTAGACGAGTGGTACCCAATAACGTCCATATTTTTAATTTTAAGCTGCTTGTAATCCCTCCCGAACGAGGCCATAATATTATCAAATAGTTGTATATTAATTTAAATATTGTATAAATTAATAATATCTGAAATCCCAATTTGGCATAGCTTAAATAATTGATTAAAATTTAAATTAAAATCAACAATTAATTTTAACTCTTCATTTTATGGGATCATAACTTTTCGATTATATATTTCATTAATTTTTATCAAAATTTATTAAAAAAAATATTTTTTTATCTATACCAAATGGAGGCTGAATATATGTTTCATGAAGGTTTGTACCACAATCATAGTAAACAAAAAACAAGAGATAACCACTTATAAGTTATTTATACCAATTAAGCCCTTGTTTGAGCCACATTATTTTTTTCATTCTCATTCTTCTACTCATTTTCAACCACATATTCTTCAATAAAATAATATTTATCATTGCATCAATAACTTTTTCTTATTTTTCAACCACACATTTCACATCACATCATTTCAAAAAAATGTATTATCTTATTTTAATGTGCACCAAACAAGCTATAAAATTATTTTAATTTCGAGATCCCTCTTTTGCACGTATACCCGATACCCCTGGTAACGAGCCTAAATGATTCGGGTCAAAACACTCTTAACCCGATTTCTCCCTCCGGTTTTCGCCTCTCCTCTGTAGTCAGATTCCGCAACTTCAAAAACTTCATCTGGGAATTCCTCCGACGTGCTGCACGCCGCCAACCTCCACAATAGCGCCACTACTTCTTGTGAGTAGACTTCTCTCTTAATAAAAACTGGAGCATAATTTGTGTATTTTGTTTTCACTTTTTACTTCAATTAATTGAATTAATGTGAATGATTTGGAAATGGACATTACTTAATTTGTTTACGTTTTTGTTGCCATTTATTGTCGGTTTAATTTGCCTTATTTTTTTCGCCGTCACGCTCTTTTGGCAATGCGAATCTGATATTTCTATTTTAATTTCAATACTAATTTAAGTCAATTATTACCCTGTTTTGTTTTATCCTTTAAATTTTAAAATTGGGTTAAATATTACTTGCGCAAGGATGAA